ATATTATATTATATTATATTATATTATATTATTTGAAGTTACTGATCTGTCCAACAATTCTCGACTGTGGAAGTGGAAAATAAAACGTCATTTGCTTTTGTGCAAGACCATTTACTCCATTTACAAAAAAATAACTTAAGACCTCAAATGACCCATTTAGTCATAGAGTCCATTTGTCCTGTTTATACGTTGATGTTTCTACTTTAAAGTCTGTCTGAGCTGTAGAGCTCCAAAGAGCTGCGTTTTCTTTTGTGCTTCACAGAAATCTTACTAATATTTATTATTTTTCTAGCAATTTTTTAAATGTTGTCTATGTTGTATGACGTATTACTATCAAAAGTCAGCACAATATTCACAACGCTACACATTTTGATGTTTAATTTGCATGTTTTATTTTAAACCTGCACCACGAGATATAAGACAAACATTTTGACCAGAGTACTAAAACAGGTTCCTTGATTCCTATGCACTGGGACCCTTAATAAATCACATAAACAAGCAGGTCTATTGTGAAGGGTGGCTCACGGCCCCTGTCTGGAAACCACTTAACAGCTTGCTCCAATCCTATTGACTGGGATTACCCCGTCCAAGGTTATTTCCTAGGTGCTGTGACCACTTAGCTTCCTGCCAGCCTCTTATTGGTGGGACCAGTTGCTAGCTGTGACAGATGTCAGCAGTTTGTGATGAGGTGAGCACAAAATGAAACCAATGGCCCCCACCACTCCTTTTCTTGGCACAGCTTTTAAAAAGGTGTTTTTTTGTTTAGTCAACAGCTGTGCTTGAAGTCAATCATAAATGTTTTCAGCCTGTGATTTATTTTATTCACACTCATATTTACAGATTTATTTGTTTATTTTTGTTTTCATTTCTTTTTGCTTGTATGTAAAATGGCATTTAGAGCATTATATACTGTGTCCTGTTACAGGTGTTTCAAAAACTCTAAATTCGACTGGCTTTTAAGTCAAAGGATAGAAGGTAAAAGTCGTCTCGAGTAAAGGAAACCCGGTTTAAAGCTGGTGGCAGGTTGGAGTGCCAATAACAACAGCGCAGACACACATCCAAAGACTGCTGTGCCAATGACACAACCATACAAATCTGGGACAGACAAACTCATCAAATTAATATTAGGATTGGCTTTCTGCCCTTCCTATTCATGCTGTTCCCCTCACTCTTATCTATATAATCATCCATCTTTCTGCCACTCCTGCTTTTAATCATCTGCTTTTCACCCCCCACCCAACACACACTCACACACACACACCTCTATCACCACAGCCAGCTACTTGTACTCAAATCCAACATGAATGAGTCCATCACCTCTGATTTTAAAGATAATCCAATGATATTTTCATTGTTTACAAAATGGGCTGTGTCCTTGCATGAACTCTCCTGATTCTGTTTTGAGAGATAAAAAAGGTTTTGTTATTCACATTTCTTCTGTTTGTCAGGATAATTTTAAAGGGCTTATTGTATGTGTTTCTCAAGCATATAGGCTATTTAAATACTATACCATAATAAAGTATCTATGTCACCTTTAGTTGTTATTAAAATGCTGTTTTTATGTTTAAATAGAAAAATAAACTTATCTTCTCATCACTTCCTCTTCTAAACGCCTTGAAATTGGCCTCTGTCTCTTTAAGAACCACCTTCCTCTTCTGTCTCACTCATTTCTGTGCGTGTGTGTGTGTGTGTGTGTGTGT